ATCATTTTCAATGATGAAATGCTAAAATAATTTTCCAAATATAATGAGATCTATAAAATTACCAGTATTATTAAACAGTTTTGGAGGATTAAAAAGAAAGTAGTTGGTTTGACTATTTTAAAAGGAAGAGACATAATCTTTCCTTTTTTTCCATATGATTATATCCCTAGAGAATCTAGAAGATCCTACTAAAAGCTTCTAGATTTAAGCAAATTTGGCAAGGTGGCTTAATGCAACAAGATAAGTATGCAACGTTAGTGTTTCTTATTTTAGTAAGAGCCAGCTTGAAATGAAAGTGGAAAAACCCAAATCTATTCATACTATAGTATCTTGTTAAGACAGTAGACAAAAATTTATTAGGGAAGACATAGACCGTATATGAAGACAACTATAGAATCTTGTCAAGGAATAAGAAACATATCTGAACACATGGAAAAATAATCAGATAATTGTTGGGAGGACTCAATAGCATGTGAATGGCATTTTTCCTCGAATTACTACACAGATTTTATATAATTCCAGTTAGGTTCACAAGGCTTGCTACATAAGTGATTTAAAACTTATCTGTGATCATAAATTTCTGAGAACAGCCAAGAAAATTATGAAAAATAATAGAGGAAAATTGGCCTTCCATGTATTAAAATATATTGCATGCAAAGACTGTATTTAAACAGTATGACATAAGGGATAAGAATGGAATTGCTTGAAAGAAAAACAGAGAAATGGATAAATGTATCATTGTATATAATGTAACGGAATAGGGAACTTATAAATGGAATTTAGTATATGTAGGAATTTTTTCTCTTACTATATAGAAAATGTGAGATGCTTAATTTATGCCAGATACAAAAATGAATTCCAGAAGATTAAATTTAAATTCTAAAAAATAAACACAGAAACAATTAGAAGAAAATTGAGGAATATAATTATTATGTAGAGGTTGGAGTGGTCTTTTTAAAGAATATTGAAAAGATTTCTAATGAAAACTAATGATATAACAATGTTCTGTTTCTTTGACAAAATATTAACAGCTAATTTAGCATTTTTAAATAATTCTGATTGGTCCATAAACTTGAAATTAGTGCTGTTGTAAAAAAATATTTAGTTTTCCTCTCAGATGATTATTCTGTGGTCAGTGTCCATTAAATGGCTAACACCCAGAATTTTTCCTTTTTTTAGATTTATATTTCAATTGATATTAAATTACTTGTTGAAATTTAGCAGTGGGACATTTTGTAATTTTTAAAAATTAACGATTCTATATTATACCTTAGAATCTATGAGAACATCAGCTATAAATATTTTTTAGAAATATTGCTGCTTTATTTAGAAGTTAATTCAGAATTTATTAGATTATAAGAATAGTCTAATATTATCTGATATTGGTCCATGGTATGATTGTATAACCTCCAATCACAGTGTTTGACATTAAGACAAAACTCTTTACATTTTAACATCTATTATTTTCATGATTTGCAAAGGTGACTATTGTTAGAAAAGAACTAAAAAACTATTCTTTCATTTTTTGTGTGTATAAAAGAAAGTGATTGTGATGATGGAGACTCAGAAATCCATCTCACGTCAAGAACTCTGAAGGAACTACAGGTAGTTAGCCTGGAGAAGAGGCGACTAATTAATAAAGAATATTGTCATTAACGTGGTCCAGTTGTTGTGCCCTGAGCATTGCTGACTTGTATTTATTTGTTGACTATATCCAACAGGCAAAGGGTCACTTTTGCAGTTGGTAAGGCATCCCATATATTGATCACACCAGTGAGAGAGAACCAGATGATGAACTAATGCTTATCTCATTACCCAAGAGGAAATCAGGGCCGCTTTCTTCTGCCTTGGAAGCGCATTCAGGTCTAAATGGCAGTGTTAAGCTGGATTTGAGTCTATTGTAGTGAGGAACAATAACATTTGGTACATGTATTTCAAGACACCAGGGCCAACCATGACACGGATTTCAGCAAGGTAAAAACCGGAGGACATACAGTTAACGGAGAACATTGAGAGGGAGTCCAAGGTCAGAGTTAGAGCAGAGACACTGTAGTGGGTATCAGGCCGTGAGGGAACATGCAGGAGTCAAGGCCACTCCAGTCTGTGATCAGGAGTAACTTTATGCTATAGCTATTACCATAAGAATAGTTTGGTTATGATAGAATCTTTTGTACAGTGCCTGTTTGGACTTGAATACTTCTTTTTTGACATGACTAGGGTACCCCAAGAGTGGCAGGATATAACCAGTCTTTTATTTAACTAGTTTTAGGATGTCTAACTACAGTCTATATCCTTCAAGATTGATAATGTACGAGTGTAAGAGAGAATAGAATTATTCTGTCTTACTTCAGATTGGAAAAGTCAGATCAGTGGATGGAAGTCACAAAGAAACACTCTGATTCAGTATGAGAAATAACTTCCTAATGATTTAGAAATCCTTAAAAGAGTTTGTCAGTTTTCTGTATTGGAGGAATTCTGGAGATCCTAGATAACCATCTGTCAGACAGCACTGCAGAAGAGACATCCACACTGCATGGAGGATGAAGTAGATGATCTTTGCAATACTTCTTTATTAAAATTACCTGAGATCCCTAAACAAATTGTAGAAACAAATTTAGTTGAACTGTAGAAGTTAAGAAGTCTTCCCTACTCTTATATCAGGAAAATTTATTGAGAGTTAGTCATTGGTAAAACTTGAGAATCTGTTCCAGTATCAGTAAAAGAATTGAAGTTGTTATGCGTTGTACCAGTTTGCCTGTAAGATGTGATGGATGGTGTTCAATTTTATCTGGGAACCTCCTTTCTCAATATTGTCTGAGTTCAGTGCAGCTAGCAGTTTATTAGACCAGAAACGCTGGTTCAGCTTGTTGTAGTTTACAAGCTTCCCATAATGTATTGTGTTTTCTCTGCTGATGATTTATACTGTGCAGATCTGTCTAGAGCATTGACTGCTTTGACTGTGAACCACTGTAAACAATATATTCTACCCCGTGACTTTGCACACACCCACTCATGAAAAGTACTGTGTGCAAAGTGCTCTCACAATTTGTCTTTCTGGTCATGACCCACTAAAGTAGTTTCATGAACTACCAAGTGGTTTGTGTTACACAGTTTGATAAACATGAGCCTCAAACACTTCTATTCGAAGTGAGATCTGTAGACCTAAAGCAGCAGCATCGCTCTGGATCTTTTAGAAAGACAAATGATCGGGCCACACCTCAGACTTATCACCAGTCAGTCTCTGCATGTGGAGTACAGGAATCTGTGCTTTAATCTAGATGATTCTGATGCACAGTGAAGTTTGAAAAGCACTCGTCCTCTTTATACTCCAAAGAGCTTTTGTGGTTTTATCTATTGATATTTGCTATATTATGAATTAAAACTTAGGAACTTTAAAACTATTTATTAATTCATTTTTAAAGGAGCAATAATAAATTCGTTATATGTTGACATCAGAGAAGTGATGTCATCACATGTCATATATCTCTCTAATCAGAGTAACTCTACTACTGTATATTCCTAAAAATGTGAGAGAAAAAAAAGCACATTTAGCTTTATTTTGAAAGTAGTTTTGACCTTGCAGACCCCCGCAGGGCTTTTGGAGACTCCAGTAATCTGCAGGCCACACTTTGAGAACTGCTCTTGTAAATTGTGTTTTTGAGAAGACTGAGACCAAATTTCTGTAATCCTCAGATAGGGTACTTTATTATGGAATTATCTGAGATGTTTTCATCACTGCTTAAGTGTTGGGGAAACTCGCGAACTTTTCAAAGCCTGTAGAAGTGTGGTTTATTAGGCTATTGAGGGTTCTATTACTGAATTCCTAGAACCAGTTGATAGATCCTGCACTGGTCTTATAGTTTATGGAGCTTCTGGGTTTGTCTAAAGGATGGTGGATTACTGGGGCTTTCCCTTCCCTCCAGTTTCATGAAACACTCCACCTTTCAGTTTCACGAAGCACCTTCCAATAAAAAGATGTGCTTCAGATCTAGAAAGTGTTTTTATTCTAATTATGAATATTTTTAGTGTTATTTCTATTTTGAGTGACTTTTTAGGCGTAATGCTCAAATTACTTCATTTCTTTCAAATAAATTTAAATATCTACCGGATTGTTTTTTCTTTTTTGAATTGCACAAGTACCTTTTATTGCTGATGATCCAGCACGCAAATTGTTTGTACTGTACCATTTAATACTTTGTTAACTGTGTATGGCACTGTGGTAAATAAATAGTATTAGAAATTGTAGTGAAATTACACAGCTCTCAAGGGGATGTGTTAACATGCAGACCCTGGAGTATCAAATCCTGCCTTGACTCATACACTTGTTGAAGTATTATGCAACTAGAGCAGATTTCCCTGCTGTCCAGCTTGCAGCCAGACTTCCCAGTCTTCCCAGGCCTTGTCAGGCTAGACCACTGCCCCCAGGTCCCGCTATATTATGGTCAGAAGAGAGAGTGAATTAAAGAAGGAGAGAGATTGATTCGTTGGCTGGTTGACTGATTGGGATTCAAACTCTTACTGCACATATAGAGGCAAGAGAATCACACCTTTATTCTCTTTTAATCCTTCACATTAGAAAACGTAGCCGAGCCAATATATTTGACCAGCAACACTCCTTTTCTGCTTACCCTTTATCCTCACTCTCCTGAGAAGTAAAGTTGAGGGTGGGGAGTGGTAAGCAGAAGCAGATGCCAGGATCCTTAAGCTTTTCCTAGAGGTCTCTGTGAATATGCTTTTCTTATTTGTAATTATTTTGTTTTGTGCATCTGTTTAACATCTTCTTTTCTAAATTAGACTGTAACCTTCCAGTGAGCAGGGGTTTTTGTCTTATTTAAACAATCTTGCTAGTCCTCCTCCCCCAACCTGCAGGCTCCAGTGCCTGGTAAAATACTAGCTCCATAATATATGCTTGATTGATAAAATATTTGTTTGATGGACTCATAATTATATAATATAGAAGCACAGATGTTAACGTTATGTATGTAATTGATTTCCCTCAGGACACAAGTTAACAGAGAATGAGAGAAACCAGTTATTGGCAATAGCATCATCATTGTTTGTGGCATCCCAATTAAGAGCACAACGTTTTCTGGAACATGAAAATTCAAGGTATGTTAGATCGTTTATAACAGAATAAATGAGCAGAAAAATATTGATGATCTAATCTGCATAGAAATAGCTAATAAAAGATCTAATCTCATTTCTGGATCTTCTTATGAAAATGCTATTGCTTCTATTTTGTTCAAATGAATTTTTTTAATTCAGAAATAAAAAAAGGATCTTGGCCCCTCTAATTTGAATATTATTGGAGGTAAGAAGATATTCTGAAACCTTACAGGAAATCTGTTCAAGTAATTTGTATTTGTTATTTCTGTTTTATTACTTTGTTAATCTTGAAAAAATTTTTGAGAAGTGTGATAATGCTAAAAGTTAGGAATGAATCTGAGCAGTTAAAAAAATTACGTATAAGAAACTCATTTATAAGATACAAGAAGGAATTAACACCAGGATGAGTTAGTTACTTGTGAGCCCTAAGGATACCTTTTAGCTTCCTAGTGACCTAAGTAAAAGGGAATACATGCTTTATAACAGGGCAAATAAAAACGTAATCATGGTGACATAATGCTTCTAAATAATAGGATTATTTATTGTGAATGTCTGTGTACTTGCTAGAATAATCCTATGTTAGCAAGTGCGGTCCATTACATGCTAGAGTGATGCTGTTGGTAAAATTGTGTTACTTCAACTTCTTTTCCTTTCTTTTTGCTTTTCCACAAGAGGAAGAACAAAGATAAAAAATAAAAAAGATGGCAGGTGACCAATCAGCTTCGACGAGCACAGATCAGAAACTCAGAGTACCCCTAAAGAATTAGGCAGAAGAAAAATGAAATTGGGTTTAGGCTATATCTTAATAGCTAATGTTGTTTTACATCGGAAATCTCAGAGTAATGGCTCTTCATTTGTTCTCATTCTCAAGAGAAAGTAAAAGATGTTTGATGTATGATCTTTTGTTAAGTTATGATTCAGTAAATATCTAGGGAGAGAGGAGAGGGTATAGAATATCAGTAAATCACTGAATGACTGGAAGGAGGAGGAAAATGATCAATAGAGCCGTGGTTGGTTTTTTCTCCCCTAAAGTTGTGCTGTCCAGTGTAGTAGCCACTAGTCATCTGTTTTTATTTGAATTAAAATTAAATTAAAAATTCAGTTTCTCAGTCACGTTCCATTGACAATATCAGTGCCATCTCTAGGTGCATTTCCAATGCTTGCTAACCACTACTGTGTTGTAGTTAGTGGCTACTGTATTGGGCAACCAAAAGAACCTTTCCATCCATTGCGGGTCTAGTGCCATCAAGCTCTGTTGGACAGTGCTGTTTTGGGGGGATGTGTGTGTAGGAGAGATCCTAGCTTTGGTTTTAAAACCAGAATAATACCTTGTATCATTTTTTATTATTCTTTTGGTAAATACAGTATTCATATCCTGATTCTGTTACATTCAGATGTTATTTGGACCTTGATTATTTCAGAAGTTCTGAGTGTAGCTAAAGATAAATTGGTTTAATCTTCAAGAAATGTATGCAGGTTGTTTTCACAGAGGGCCGACTTACCATTGGTAAGAATCTGAAGAAGGTATGAAAAGGAGAAGAATAAATAGTACCTGTAATCCCACAAACTCTTCAATAACCACTTTTAACATTTTGATATATTCCCTTCCAAGTATACATATATATGTGTGTATATTTATATAATTAGATACATGTGGCATATATACCTTACGTAGTTAGAGTCATCCTGGAAGTATTGTTTGAATTCTGTTTTTTTAAACTTCATATTATGTTGTGAATATTTTCTTCTTATTCACTGGTCTTTGGAAGCATATATTTTTTTGTTTTTATTACAGAGAATTTAAGACATCTGCAGAATAAGCTTTCAAATTTCAAAAGAGACCGTCAAGAACATTATAAAACAATATAGAAAATGGCAGAATGTATTCAGAGATATATATCCAATTTAGAACTTAAATCTATAATGTATAAATAATTCTTACAACACAAAAATAAGTTAGACAACCCAATAAAAACAAAAAAGATTTAGCATAGACTCTTTATCAGAGAAGTAAAACGAATGGCAAATAAGTTCGTGAAAAGATGGTGAACATCATCAGTCGTTAGGAATTATAAACTAGATCACAATGCTATGTCACTACACACCCATGAGAATAATCTATATCAAGTGATGAGTGGATAAATAACTGTGGTATATCCATATGATGGAATACTATTTAGCAATGCAAAACAATGAAGTACTGATACGTGCATCAACATGCATAAATCTAAAAAGAAAATTATGCTGAGAAAGGAACCAGTTAAAGATTATATAATGTTTGATTTCATTTATTTGAAATTTCTAGGAAAGGCAAAAGTATGAAGACAGAAAGATTAGTCGTTTCATAGGTGCAGGTGTTGATGTCACAGAATTACATCTTTATATATTCTGTGCCAAAAACCGTAAATCAATAATTATTTTAAATGCATTAGTCTCTTAAATTATATAGAAAACGAACTGTGGAGTTTCAAACCAAAGTTACAATGATACTGACTTTTAGTCTAATAATTGACTTTTTTAATGCATTAGTCCCTTAAATCATGTAGGAAACAAAAAGTAGAGTTACAAGCTATTGTTACAATAGTACTAGCTTTTCTAATTGTCCGTGTATTTACCTTTACTGAGATAACTTATTTCTTCACCTGGCTTCTTGGTACTGTCTGGTGTCCTTTCATTTCAACCTTAGCATTTCCTGCAGGGGAGGACTAGTGGTAACAAACTCCCTACACTTTTGCTTATCTGGGAGTGTCTTAATAACTCACTCACTTTTGAAGGACAGTTTTGCTGGATTTAGGATTCTTGGTTGACAGTTTTTTTCTTCTGGCACTGAATATATCAGCCCACTGTCTCTGGCCTCCAAAATTTCAGATGAGAAATCTGCTTGTAATCTTAGTGAGAATCCCTTGTATGTGATGCTTTGCTTCTCTCTTGGTACTTTCAAGATTCTCTCTTTGTCTTTGTCTTTTGAAAGTTTGATTATAATATGTCTTGGTATAGATCCTGAGTTCATCTTACTTGAAGTTGGTTGAACTTCTTAGATGTTTTATATTCATGTATATCCTCAAATTTGGGAAGTTTTCAGCCATTATTTCTTCGAATATTCTATCTGCTCCTTTCTCTCTCTCTCTTCTTCTGGGACTCCCACAATGCATACATTGGTCTGCTTGATGGTATCCCACAGTTCTTTAGGCTTTGTTACTTTTCTTCACTCTTTTTTCTTTCTGCTATTTCAGACTTGATAATTTTTACTATCCTATCTTCAAGTTGCCTGATGCCTTCTTCTGCCTCCTCAAATTTGTCTTTGAATCCTCTAGTGAGTTTTCAATTTCAGTTATTGTACTTTTCAGCTCCAGAATTTCTTTTTCATTTTTTTTGTAGGTTTTCTGTCTCTTTATTGATATTTTCATGTTGTTTACACATCATTTTCTTGACTTTCTCCACATCTCCTTTGGTTCTTTGAGCATCTTAAAGTAGTCTTTGTCTACTATATCTGCCATTAGGTCTTTTTCAGGGAAATAGTCTGTTGACTTTTTTTCCTTTGAATACTTTCTCCTTTCTTTGTATGACTTGTGATTTCTTTGTTGAATACTGGACATTTAAATCTAATAATGTGCTAACTCTGGAAATCAGAATCTTCTTCTTCCCCAGGGTTTACTGTTTTTTTTTTCTTATTGTTTTTGTTTATTTAATTGTTGTAAGCTTCCTCTGTGCCAAAGATCAGCCTGAGATGTAAAGTTAAAATTTTCTCAGGTCTTTTCTGAGCCTTTCCCTGGGTATGTATGGTCACTTTCCAATTTTCCTCATATATGCAGTTATTTTTGAATGTCTTAGTCTTTAATATCTGACTTCTAAAGAGGAAAAAGCAAAAAATGAAGAGGGCAGGAAGGGGGTACTAGCCCTTTAAATCCCCTAGAAGTCACTTCAGCCAGAGGGGGAGGGGCTTGCAACTTGCCGAGAAGGGTAATAACAATGGCTAACTGTCTTTTTGTCTGAACCTCTGTGATTAGAAGCAACAGTTAGCAATCAGAGCACAGCTCCCCAATATTTGGAGGACAGGATCCTTTTTGTCATCCTGGCTTCCATAAGCTGTGTGCAAGCTGTTCCAGGAACAGGTGTGCAGCTGCCTGCCACATGGCTGGGGATTGGGTGGATGGGTAGCTACTATTGTGCTAAAAGCTGAAATTGATGAAATTGACTACAATTTTTCATCCAGGTCTTCCCCTGAAAGTTGCAAGTCTTCCGCTGGACTCCAGAGTTCCAAAATAGTTAGAGCGATTCTCCCAGTGTAATAGGAAGCAGATTCCTGGTGCCTCCTATTCTGCCTTCATCCCAGAATCCTCCTCTTTTATATTACTGTTGAGCTCTTTACCCTTTAGAAGTTGGGAAAAATTATATAAATGAAATATGTAGGCCAAAGCTCAGTTATGTAGATAATTGTGCACATATTGCCTATGTGACAAACAGTATTTATTTTTGGTGAGAATGTTTTTCTTTTGAACTTATCATTTGTTTATCAGGCCAATTTATTGTAAAATTGGTGCCACCCATAACAACAGAGACCTATAACATCTAGTAAAATATCTTGGTCTGTTTGACAAAGCGTGATCTTGTTTAGGCAAAGTGAATCTAAGTTATTTTTGCTAGTTTGCTGAAGAGGTCCCTGATACCAAAGCTGTTGTAAGGTGGTTGAATCTTCACATTTTGGCTTCAGAGTTGTGTTTTCATTATTGGCTTGGGAATGGAGTGTACGAGTCAGCCTCCAGGTGTGGCTCCACATTACTCTTTCGTGGGTGTGCTCAGTAATGTTTATGCTTCCAAACCCAGTAGCCCACAGCCCTTCCTTTGAGCTGCTTGTTTTGGCTGCTGATCTTATTTTCCCAATTTCTCTGTGGGTTTTACTCTTTCATCATTTATGACTTGGAAAAAGACATTAATAATATGTACCCATAGTGTTTGGATAGTAAAAAGATAGCAGTGCATTTTAGGAAAAAAGAAAAGTTAAT